ATTTTTAATGCCGTAATTGTCTACTATGACTCGAATTCCTCTCCACTTTGCTACATTTCACATTTGACGCCAGTTCTATTTTAGGTGCTTCAGCTTAGCTTCATACAAGGTGATTTAGCGTGGACACGCCAGCCAGAACAAATCGACTGCTGCAAAATGTGACTCTATTTTTGGAGGAAAGATCTTATAATCTTTAATTGAAAGCGCCACTTTTTGCTAAATGGCCCTTTTTGTAAAATATATGTTTGACTCTGCATTTATCCGTTAGAATGCAACTGTACCACAAATAGTCTTTGAACAGACTTCCCATTAATCGGTCTCAAAAGAGTACATTTTAGGTTGCTGGTTGTTTAGAGTACTTTTGGGCAGTTGTGTAGGGTGGATCTACGAGGTCAACAGGAGCAATGGAGGCAATGGATATGCAACGCAATTCAGTGGATTAGCTAACTTTTTAGACTTGCAAACAAGTCCCCTTATCTCCAAAACGCTTTTTGTCCTTCCTTTGCTATGTCTTTCCTCCATTCAGACCTGTCGGCCTCTGCTGTGGACGCCGTTACGGACGAAACTCGAAGTGTCAGCTCTTCGAGTCTTCCGTCTTCTCGGGAGAAGCTGCGCCGATCGGTTGAGTTTGACTACAGCGCCGGCAGTCTTCCATCGTCCGGCTCGACTCTGTCCGCCGGATGTGGTCTGAAGCATGCCTTCCGATTGCCCGACTTTGTCTGGTCTTATTTGCACCGACTGCTGTTGGATGAGTTGTTACGAGCTGTTGAATACGATTTCTGGTTAGTATTGTCCTCCTCTTGAGCACCATTTCACCATCAGCCCACGTTTTGTCTACGATTTTTTACTGAAGCACACAACTTGAGGCTAAAAAGTAGTTCAAACAAGCAGACAGCCAGACTCATGATTACGTGTTGTGGAGACTTTCACTTCGTAAGCAGGTGTATGATGAAGAGATTCGTGGACCGATCTCTCCAGAAGACGATGCCTGCAGTCTGGCCTTAATACGACGCTCGGATGGACGCAGTCCACGAGACATCCTCCCTCGTTTCGCGTGAAAATGGACCAAGATTTTGTCCCTCACGCCACTTGACGGACCCATAAATAGAACAAAAATATGTAGATATAGTTAGTTATAGAACGTTGTGTTTCGTTCTTTTTCATAATAATCAAGTGTGTGTGTTTGTTTGTGTCATGTCCGGGTTATCAAGGCCCAACGAGAGCATGACCAAAACTGCATGCGTCAGAAAGTAACTCTGATTGAGATAAGAAGATGTGAGCCCACACTTTCATACAAAATGAAAGTCTCCAGAACAATGTTATCTCAAGAGATCCATCGGGACAAAGTCATTCTTATGCGTGCTGCTTCTTTATCATTCGTCCAACTTCCGTTGAAAGCGTGTTTCTGAAGTTTGTCCATAAACTGGTCTGT